TATCCGATTCCTGACCTTAAGTATCCGATTCTGGAATCAGAATCGATTTTCGATTCCCAACCCTAGTTATTCCCCAGTAATGACCGTCATCAATAACAATACTGACGGTGTGTGTCCCATTTCACATACTCATGAATAAGAAAGTGCACTATAAATACCCAGATGATGTACTTACCGTATTGTCCCGAATATAAGACGATGTTTTTTTCTTGGAAATACATCTGAAAAAACGCGGTCGTCTTATATTCAGGGTCTAGACTTTGACATGTCAATAATACACCCACAACAATAGGTGGCGCCAAATGTTTCATTTAAAATTCTTATAAATGTTCAGTTCAGCAAAGTAAATACACTGTCATGAAAATGTTCAATTTAAAAATACAGAAAAAAAAATATTTTAAAAAGTAAAGATTCTGAAAGCTTTTAAGTAGATCTAAATACTTTTAATGGCTTTACAGAAGTAACAACAAATATATTCTATTATGATGAAGGGGGGGTCGTCTTATATTCGGGCCAATACGGTACTTAACCGAAAAAAAGTGTCAGACTATCTATGATAGATGACAAACAAGTTGTTTAAGTGCATGGTGTATAGTATGTCATTTGGGTAACACCGTGAATTTTTACGTTACATTTTGAGCTAATAAAATATTTCAACTCAAATCAATATTTTTTTATCCATTTATTTCCATGTAGTAAGTAGCCCTGTAATAAGAAGAATATACTTTAGAATATTTACATATTTTCATATACAGTAAATGTGGGTTTTTACACTGTGTATAAATTTGACCGATGTTTACCGTTTTTAGAGAGTACTGTTTTTACAGTTACAAGTACATTTACAACTTAGTGTTTTATTGTCCATTTCCATGAGACAAAGTATGCGATATTTAGTGACACTGCTGTCATTTGTTAGTCTGGAGCCCTGTGTTTGGATTTCAGATAGAGGTGCTATAGCTAATACGGGTGCCGTGCTATACCTTAACAATACAGGGTTTATGGACGTTTGGGTTCAGTAACATTTGATATTTAGTCATTTGTTTCCAGTTCAGATTGTTTAAATAAATCTGCCGTTAGAGGGATTTTTAAACAAGTGTTAACTCTCTCCAATCCAATGTTATTTCAGATGAAAATGGACCTGCAGTCATTATTAGGACGGAATCATAATCACCGGAGCGGACGGATACTTGGTGAGTATGGGTTTTAGTGGTGAAGGCAAGCATCACTATTACTGTGGCTCATATGTAATTTAGGCATTTCTCTAGCACTGAGTATTTAACTTGAGAGGGTTTGTACTGTGGACATGAATGATTCCTCAAAATGATGTGGTTTGTCCTTCACAATAGCGACCCTGGCAACACCACTCACTATACAAATCTGGATCTAGTAATCTAGCTTATCTGCTCAAAAGTTTTTTTTTTACGCTAACATTGGTTTCTTATTTATTTGACTAGTGGGATCCTGCATCATGAGCTGTTTAAGAAAGCACCAATCCCTGAATGAGACGACTGCATTCCAAATCCTGGACCGTTCCAGAAAAGCCTGTTTTTAGAGAGCCAAATATATTGGGAACAGTGAGGAGTTTCCTGTAATGCTGAGAAATACTTAGAACTTGCGCTGAATGTTGTCAAGTATATCGCTCATCTTTTGTGAAAAGGAGAGCCACAGGACAATCACTGGCATTTTCAGATGTCATAGACCTGTTGGACTGTTTATTATCATGCTTTTATGAGAACAGATGGACACATCTCTGATCAAATATGATATACCAGTATCTAGTTGGAGGAATTTCTAGGATGTTTCTGATAGCTGTTACTTTTTATTTTTTCTTCTTCACATAGTGGGATAAGTCTTTATACACCAACATGTCCAGATCATACTTCACCCCGAAAACAAAGTGAGATTGTATTATGTAATAGGCATGGCTTTAAATTAAGCATTAAGTATTTTTATATCAAAACTTGCAAAAATGCAAAACTTTTATTTGCATAAATTGTGAAGTATTTATACTTTTTGGTAGTATTTGCTATCCTTCCTTTAATCTTTAATGAAAAGCAGTACAGTTAAAAGAATAAGAATTTAATATAAATTAATTTAAAATATCTGGATGCATCACAGTAATGGGAACTGGGGGGAAATGTGCTTAATTAAAATGTCACAAAGTAAAATAGGTTTCTTGTTTATTATGCACAATATAATTCCTGTTATGAATTTCCTTTTTCTTTTGATTTTGGGGTGAAATGTGACATGGACATGTTTCATGACATTCACCCAGTGCAAACGGAGAGCTCTTCCTCTGATTTGTGTGTGTGTGTGTGTGTGTGTGTGTTGCCACCATTAATATAAGTTTCATATTGAGTTGGTAAGAAGTCAATCCTATGCATTTATCCTCTGTATACAGTATATCACTGACTTAAGCTGACATTTTTATTGAGCTTGTTTTAATTCTTAATCACTGATTCAGACTGTGATCCTGTGGTCATTAGAGAGCAGTCTGGATTTACCTTCTTTCTTTTACGTTGTGATGCAATATAAACTCATTTTGATACCTCTCTGTGTATATATTTAGAAAGAGACATGCGGAGTATAGTTTGGGACTTGTAAAACCTAATACAAGATATGTTTAATGTATTACTGTAAAACCCATGAACACATGAGGCTGATTTCAGACGATATGACTGTCCTGTGAAAACTATTGCCACGTTTTCCTCTAGTGCAAAAGAAGTAGATATAGCATTGCAGTATCGTGTTGTATTCTAAGTGGGTGAGTAATCCTTTTGAATTTAAAGTCTGTTTGAAAGGTATGCTTGAGTCCCGTTTGTGTGGCCCTCTTCAGATACTGTAATTGATATGCCTGTCATATGGTTCTCACTTATGAGGATCCTTATTAGCCAATGCTTATTGTTTGATTTGCACTGACCTTAATCTGAGGGAGATCTTTGCTTCCTTTGACTGTGTATGCGCTCAAATTTTTCTTTAACTCCATATCCACTACGTTTAAGTCATTACATGCCAATGTTTTTCCCAATGGTGCAAAATATTGTATTGTTTGTAAGTTCTGTCTGATGATTGAATGTCAATAAATACTTTACTTATTTAGTGATCTTCACTTCTTGAAAACACCCCTTCCATGCTCAAAGTATACGAGGCGACAGTTAAAAAACCAAAGGTTATCCCGCTGGATAGTAGATGCCATTCCACTGGCTTACACCTTAGTGGGCTTACAGTGCCCCATTGGAGTAAGGGCCCACTCCAGCAGGGGTATAGCCTCCTCCAGGACTTGGTCCAGTGAAGTCTCCATTTAAGATATCTGTGCGTCATTTTTTCGCTGGTCTAGGTTTTATACCCCAGACATCCCTGCCCTTTAGCCACGGATTTTGTCCGCCTAACCAACCTGTACCCCTGTCAGTGCTCAGGACTATTTTGTCAGAAGACTCTGGCCTTATAGCCCGGGCCGCGGTGATTCCGGGTTGATTGGATGAAAACTGGATGACGAGTAATTTCTTACTGCTAAATTCTGAAAAAACAGAGGTGTTAATTATAGGACCTAAAAAATCTGCATGTAATAACCTAGAACACTGTCTAAGACTTGATGGCTGCTCTGTCAATTCTTCGTCATCAGTTAGGAACCTAGGTGTGCTATTTGATAGCAATCTTTCGTTAGAAAGCCACGTTTCTTTGTTAAAAGCGCTATATAAATAAAGGTGACTTGACTTGATTGTGCCCTTTTTTGCCCCACGCTACCCTTAGGGCTGAAATGCCATTTGTTCGTGCAGCTACACAAACGTTAACAAATCGGGCTCCAGTATTCTGAGAAAAACAGTTTTCCTCTAGCGTAGGAAACGCAATGCTCGTTCCCGTTATCTCAGGGAACTGAGATTACGTTATTAATCGGAGTGTTTTTTTAAAGAAAAGCTGAAAGACTTTCACATTTAATCTTCACAGAATTATTAGGTGTAAGAATGACAGCCGTGAACTGTCCATTATTGCGCAATTTTGGAAGACTCATCTTTGTGCCATTCAACACTTGGCTATCTACCAAGCTCTGTGATTTCCCTAGGAGGTCTACAATTATCATTGATGGCTGGATGTTGAATGAATTAAAAATGCTGAACAGAATGCGAAGGTCAGCTGGAACAGAACAGAGAGGTGGCAGCTTTCTGATTCCACATTCATAATGGCAGGTAATTACTTGAATTCTCAGCAGGCCACAATGGACAGAATATTCATAGAAGACAATAAGGGCTTTCTCTTTTTCACGGCAAAGCATGATAAGAACATTCTCAGACCTGCCATATTGCTCAGAAAAGGCAACATTTCACTTGTGCAATCATAACTTATAATTAATTGACAGACTGTGTTAACATTGATCTTACACTCTAAAAACTGCTGGGTCAAAAAGGGACGAACCCAGGGCTGGGTTGTTTTGACCCAACAAGTTGGGTTATATGTTTGACCAGCATGCTGGGTTGCTTTTTTATGGTTTAAAATGACTACATTGCTAGGCTAAAATTAACCCAAATCTAACCCAAACCTACTAACCTTGTTCATTTTAAAATCACTTTTACACACACAGAATGTCTATCAAAAGTAGGGGTTGCACCGACTAGTCGACTTCAATGCTCTGCCATGACACTTTAAAGGGGTCATATGATGTTGCTAAAAAGAACATTTTGTGTATTTGGTGTAATGAAATGTGTTTATGCGGTTTAAGGTTAAAAAAACACATTATTTTCCACATACTGTACATTATTGTTTCTCGGCCAAACAAAGTAGTTTCGCTTTCACAACGAAACACACAGCGTAACACACGGCGGGCTAGAGTGAGCGGCGTCTGGCGGGCTTGCGGCAACCACATGTGGCGACCCCGGGCTGGACTCTGCTTCGTCCACGGTGAAAGCCGATCCGGCGATCCACAACGTGAAGTTGATGTATTTCCTCAGCGACCAGCACAGATCAGCTCTAGGCATGACGAAGCAGGTATCGTCCTCTTTTGGAAGACCAAACAAAGTAGTTTCGCTTTCACAACGAAGCACTTCATGACATGGTGGCAGCAACAACAATACTTGATAAGTCTTGTAAGGACAGTATCTATCTATCTATCTATCTATCCCCGCCACCACCCTCTTCTCTTGTAAGGACACTATCTATCTATCCAAGGTGAAAGTAGTTGCAGAGTAGACCAATCAAAAGAAGAAGAGGAAGAACGTCAAGATCAGGTAAATGCAAACAGACGGTACTGAAAAGACCAATGGAAATGTTCAAGGTGTCAATAAAACCAGCTAAAACTGTGTAATGTGTATATATCACAGTGAGGGACAGGGTGAGGACAGAAGTCTTTTTGAGCAAGCAACTGTGATTGTCAATTCCCTAAACATAGAGCCTATCAAACTGATAACTGAGACAACTGCCTAAGCGTTTTAGTCTAGAAACAAGCACATACAAGCCAAAAACAGCAACAGAGCATTACAGAATTGAGTTTTATCAGGTCCTTGACGTTGTTGAACCAGTGCTCAATGAACGTTTTGAGCAGGAAGGTCTTTACTGATCCTGCAGAAACTAGAGAATACTCTGCTCACTGGACAAATTGATTCAGTGTGTGGTGAGTATCCTGAGATCAACAGCCAGTTGCTTGCAGTTCAGTTACCCATGTTTAGACAGAACTATCAGTTTGGATCCAGTATGAAGGCAGCAAACATTCTTAAAGGTTTGTCAGTGGAAGTTCCTGGACTTTTCAGTGAAGTGGAAACTATCTATCTATCTATCTATCTATCTATCCCCGCCACCACCCTCTTCTCTTGTAAGGACACTATCTATCTATCTATCTATCTCCTCTTAGAAGGACAATATCTATCTATCTATCTATCTATCGTAACGGGGTGAAGAATCACACGACAAGTAATCTCAATCAATACCCCGGAGGGTGGATTTATTGGGGTGATGGGTGTTAGTGAGAAAGGTCCAGGTAGGTGCTCCGGTGCCGTGAGTTGCATGTTATCACACTATCATCACTTGAATGCGAGCCATCACAGGACTTTACACACAAGACAAGCTCTGCTGTGACAGCTCTTTCATATTCTCAATAAACAAAAAGTATATTTTCATAATCTTATGTTTATTTACCACATGTCCCATCAGTAAAAACATTATTTTATGCTTTACTCTGAGTTTCTGAATCTAATATCTTAATGTGGTATGGTATCTACGTGAATAATGATTTTTATTAAATAAACATATTTATCAATATTAAATCATAATACTCTAAACAGCAGCCTCTGGCTTACATTGTTCATGTTAGCGAGTGTCTAAACGACCGATTTAACTTCCAAGTTTTAAGTAAACATGCAAAAATAAAACGATAA